GAGTACTCTGCTTTCTGGAACCCATTCGTCCCAACTAGAGGTCAGGAGGGGGTGGTGTACTGAGGGAGCTCCCTCAGGAACAGGAAAAAGGGCTACAATATTCTCATGTGTCTTTAAAGTGTTTTCAGAGCGCCTGGGCCTCACAGCATTTTCATTCCAACCACTGTAATGTATAAAGTATTTTACTTGTTTGTCCTTTATGGCAACCTTTACACACTTTGCTTCATAAAGAAGAGGCCCATGAAAGCACAGTACTCGTTCACTCTCCTGGAACTTGGGCTTCGGGTCCTACTTGGGCAGCATTTATAAGGGATTCGTCGCCTCCTTCTCCCACCACCCCCGACTACCGCCCCCTACTCTCTACCCCACCCGAGCTTGCGTCAGATGCACCGTCTGGCACAGCCGCTCTGCATCCTGGGCCCGATTTGCCAGCACCCGAAGACCTCACTAATTTTTATTTTTTTGTTTTTGTTTTTGCTTTTTTTTTTGGAGAGAGGGTCTTGCTGTGAAGTTCAGGCTGGCCTTGGACTCACTATGTAGCCCAGGCTGGCCTTGAACTCCTGCCTAAGCCTCCTGAGTGCTGGGATTGCAGGCATGCACACCACCATGTCCAGCTGGAGTATAATTTTTAATATGGGATCCTTGTTTGGTTCTGCCATACTTTAACAAATCCATTGTCTATAAATTAGAATTCAGATCTCCCACAGATTAAAAGGTGATTATCCTCAATTCCAAAGGACCTATGGAATGGGTTTATTAAGTTGTCAATTATCCTAAGATATTTAAATGTTAATATGAATTTCAAAACAGTCAAAATATGTACTAATTTTCTAGACAAATAGTCAAGGAAGTTTCATTGGCTTAATTTTATTTATTTATTTATTTTTATTTTTTGGTACTGGGGATCGAACTCAGGTCCTTGCGCTTGCACAGCAGGTGGTGAAACCACTGACCCAAATCCCGGCCCTCATTGTGATAGCTACTGTTTAGAAATCTTCTTCACCCTCCTAATCCAAACAGGTTGTTCTACCCAGAACATGAATAGCAGCAGGTATTTTTATGACAGGCTGAGGTTTACATTTTACTTCTTTCTTTCTTAAAAAAAAAGTACATATATTTGTATACAATTAAGAAAAATATATGTATATATTTAAACTGATATACAATGCACATAATTATGAGGTACATAGTTCAGTATTTGTCAATGAGGATAATTGGCATATCCATCACCTCAACTATTTATCATTTGTGATAGGAACATTCAAAATCCTCTCTAGCTATTTTGAAATATACAATTAATTATTGTCAACCATAGTATCTTTCTGTGGTACAGGACATTAAAAGTTATTCCTTCAATCCAGTTGTGCCTTTGTGCCTACTAACCATCCTCTCTCCATCCCACCCCACCCCTACCCTTCCCAGACTCTTGTAACAGTATTCTCCTATATTTCTATGAGATCAACTTTTTAGCTTCCACATATAAGTAACTTGTGCTATTTGTTTTTATGTGCCTGACTTATTTCACAAAACATAATACCCTCCAGGTTCACACGTGTCACTTTACTTCCCTTTAAACTGGTTTTTCCTGACAAAGAAAAAAATCCTAAAAGATTGCATCTAAGTATTCTTAGCCAGGGACATTTCACAATGGAAAACACAAAGCCACACAGTTTTAGGCTGTCTTTAACTGTCACTGTATGTCTCTGTCCTCCAACTATGCCCTAGGTCCTATAGACACACATTTCCCAATCTTATTTGTAGGGAGCAGGGAAAGGGGACGTTACTAGAACCTCTGCAACAAGTCTCCTGTGAGCCATGACAGCACAAGGTGAATTAATTGATTAGACAGAAAAGATAGAAAAATGAGACTTAGAGAAGCTGAGCTTTGGGCCTGATTAGTGCTGCTCTGGGCAGCAAAGACAAAAGCCGCCGAGCTTGCTGCACCTTCATTCAGTAGATCGGGAGACACAAATGTAACAGATGACTCAAGGGGCAGCAGCAAAAATCTTGGAACAAGCGGGAACTATGCTATGAAGATTTTCCTCCCCGGGATGTTTTCAGCTGGTGTAATCTTTTTTTGCTTGTTTGTTTTTGTTTTTTTGGTACTGGGGATCAAACTTGGGACCTTGCACTTTCGAGGTAGGCAGTGACACCACTGAGCTAAATCCCCAGCCCTCAGCTGGTGTAATATTGCCCTGAAGTATCACTTTATCACTGGACCATTGAGGTTTTAGCTGTGACCAGAAGTGAAGATGGAGTTATGTCCCCACATGACATAGCTGGCCTGTAGGCGGGAGAACTAGGCCAAATCATAATTTTAATTGTGAAATGATTTTTCCTCAAAATTATGTAGAATTGCTCCCGACACTTATTGTTACTGGGTTTTGTAGAAGTACAAAATTCAGTTAAAAATATTTAAGTAATCAAAGTTCTTCTGAATCCACCTGCTATGGTTTGGGTATGGTCTGAATGTCCCCCAATAGTCCACAATGATTAAAATCTTGCTCTCTAGGGTGGCACTATTAGGAAGTGGTGGAACTTTTGGGAGGTACAGTAGATCCTTGCTGGAAGTTCTTAGTTATCGGGGTTCTGACCTTAAAAGGGATTATGGGATTCCAGTCTCTCCTCTGATTGCCTGTTTGGTATTATAAGCTTCACATACAAACATACACACACACACACACACACACACACACACACACATCTCCACCATGATATGATACAGCTGAGACCTGAGAGGCTAATGACATGCCCTTGAACTTCCAGAACTGTGGGCTAAATAAAAATGTTATAAGTCAGCTACCTGTCTAAGTCACTTTTCCATTGCTGGGACAAAATATTAGCCCCATAACTTACAGGAGGAGAAGTTTCTTTGGATTCATGGTTTTTGGAAGTTTCAGTCCATTGTCGGCTGGCTCCAAGGCAGAATGACATGGTGGAAGGGGCTGCTTCCAGGAAAAGTCCTTCATGTCTTGGTGGCTGGGAAGCAGAGGGAGGAGGAGGCTGGGGGAAGATATCCCCTTCTGGGTCACACCTCCAATGATGGGCCTCTTCAGACCAGGCCCCACCTCCTAACAGCACTTTTAGCTATAAACTCATCGGTGGACCAATTCACAATGAGTACAGTGCCTCGAGGATCAAATCCTCTTCTAAAAGCCCTGCCAAGGAGTGCATAAAGCTCTTGGGGGACATCTAGATATAAACCGTAACACTGTCTTGGGTATTTTGCTGTAGCAATACAAAGTTGCCTAATATGCAGCCACCTTTTAGAGGCTCCTACCTAGTTAATGCTAGTCCATGTCTGCCCAATGAGCTCCTCACACAGACACACACACATAATTATAGCTTGCATTATATTCTCTCCAGAAAAAAATTCCATAATTCAGTTTTTCTGCCACCTCAGTCAAAACTGATCTGTCCAACATTCTTGCCATTCAATTCATGTTTTGGTTCAAACAACATGGCATAGAGGTTTTTAATGGTTTATAGGTTGCTGCTGGTAGTCATCAGGTTTATTTATTAACACCAGAGTGACAACACCCCACCTTAAGGATCTTGGTTAAATGCTACAGTTTGACACTCAGGAACAATTTGTATCCTGGGCTCTTGACATTTTAAAGCAGCAAGGGGTGGGGGAAAGGAGGTGAAGACAAGCTTAGTCTTAGGTTCCAAGATGATACCTCCTTGTTGCATCTTTGGGGATGAGGACTATTGTGACCTCGAACAGCTGAAGAGCAGAGGACTCAACCCACTCCTGAAGGCTCTCTTTGTTAGGGTAGTTTTCTATCCACGAGGGTGCACCTCACATTAATTCCCACCTTCCAACACTGGGGATTGGGATTAGGTTTCAACATGAGTTTTTGAGGGGACAAAATATTAGAACCATTGCAGCATTTAAAATGTGAAAGCAAACAGGTGAAATTATTTTAATATTTCATTTAATCCAGTATGTCTAAAATATTATCAGTACAACATGAACTCAATATAAAAATTATTAATGAGATATTTTATTTTTCATACTCACCCTTTAAAACCCAGTATGTATTTTATACCTTCAATACATCTGAATTTGGACTGGCCACAGTGTAGGTGCTCAAGAGCCACATGCAGACTACTGGCTACTACATGGGATGGTACAGTTCTAGAAGAGGCATGGCATGACTTGGGAAGCCATCCAGTCTGACCGTTATTTACAGAAAGTGACGTACATTTTCCAGGGCTATACAACCAATTGGTGGAAGAGGTGGTATTAGAATCCAGTGATTTTCCCCTACCCCATGGTTTCACTCATGAAGCTCATAGCAGCAAAGCTGGCATAGAACCCTGCTCCTCCTGGCTACCTTGGGGCTCTTTTTCTATAAGCCACTGCCCTCTACTTGTCTCACCTTTCTTCTAAATAAGCTAAACGCCTCACTGGAAATAATCTGGCTGTAAACCAAGACAAGCAAGATAGAATTTTTCCTTGTATTTCCACAGAGATAATTTTTTTATGACTTCTCACCCTTGTCCCCAGAAACTCACGGTTTTAAACCACTGAAAACTGGTTCCTTTTAGACAATGGTCCTCAACAGAAGAATTCATAAAAATCATCTGTGGAGCTTTTATAAAGTTCAGATGACTGGTCCCCTATGCCACAATGCCGTTTGATAAGTGCATGTGTGTATGAGGGGGGAGATTAATGTAGATTGCTATATTTTACTAGTTCTGAATAATTCTGGTGCACATGTCCAATCACAAGGACCTTGTGAACTGCCAGCTGGCTTCTGATGTCCCTTCCCAGACCCTCTGGCAATTTAAACACTTATTGGAGTTTGGAGCCTGACAGGTGGATCAGGAACTGGTCTTAAGGAAAGAAACAGGAGAAATAGATACTGTGAGCACCTCCCAGGGCAGGGCTACCTGGCTTACTTCTTTTCTCTGCACCCAAGGACACTCTAGTTTTATTTCCTGATCACACACCGTCACCTGCAGTGCTGTCACAGCCAGTAACACAGGCAGGAATGCAGCAGATGAGACTTGCTCTTGTGGTCTTGGCTGTCTGTGAGGCTCTTCGAACCTCGGAAGGTGAGTGGGGGCACCAGCCCCTTGGGCCTGCAGTGGGAAGGGGGTGCCTCCCAAATTGGGGCTGGAAGAAGTGAGGTGAGCAGGAATCTCTACTTTCAGGTGGGACATCTGCAAGAGAGTGGCCTTGGTTTAAATACTAGATTTCTGAGAAATCTCAGGAAGGAACCTCATTTTAACTGGAACATTGGTAACGTGGCACCTGATGGATGAAGTCCTTCCATGTAGGTGCAACTTTGGACTGTTTCATTTTCTGACAATATCTCAGAATATTTCCCCCAAGAGATTGGAGTAAGGATCCTATTACTGGGCTGGGGATTTAGCTCAGTGGCACTGCACCTGCCTTGCAAACACAAGGTCCTGAGTTCGATTCCGATACCAAAAAAAAAAGACCCTATTATTAATCTGTCTGAACTGCCTGAACACAGGTGTGCACAGTCCTGGAGGAAAAGACAGACAGACTGGACCCATGGTGTTGGGTTAGGTAAGCTGCAGATTTCCTGAGCAAAGTCAGCCTTATAAATACTGAGCACTGAAACATCAATCTGAATTTAAAAATGGGAAGCAAGATGAAAGAGAGAGAACCATGTAAATTATTATTAAAGAGAATTTAACTTACGAGTTTCTGGTATATAGGTGAAGATTGTAGCTGCCTTCAGCCTAGAAGGAACCTATTCTACTGTAGCACTACTAATGTATTTAAGAAACTCTAAATATATAGGAATTTAATTCTTAGCTGGTGCTTCTTTTCCAGTCTTCTTTTCTCAGGCTTTATCCTGAACAGATTCTCTTGAGTCTGGACCAGAAGTGGGATATCCATGGTGTTTGGTCTGCTTTTCCAAAAGTTGCGCTAACATTTTAAAACACAGGCTTCAGCTGGGCGTGGTGGCACACACCTGTAATCTCAGCACTTGGGAGGCTGAAACGGAAGGATCACCATGAGTTTGAGGCCAGCCTGGGCTACATAGTGAGTTCAAGGCCAGCCTGAATTACAGAGCAAGACCTTGTCTCAAAAAACAAACAAGCAAGCAAACAGACACACACAAAAATAACACAGACTTCACATGTACATACTCATGTATACACTCATACAAATTGAATTTAGGGCTTCTGAAGAAATCAGATCTAGGGGCGTGGGATGTAGCTCTATAGCAGAATGCTTGTTTATCGTCAGTGAGGCTCTGGGATCCATCCTCTGCACTGCAAACACAACAAAACAGAGCTGGCAACAGTGGCTCCACAAACCTCTGCAGAAGCAAACTAGCCTCTGTCCCTCTCCTCTGTGGTGTGCTGTATCACATTAGCTGCCTGGTTCCTACTGTAGACAAATTTGGATAGAAACTTCAATTAGTGCAACTATTTGGCTTAAATAAACATGGAGAGATGGATAATCTTGCCTTAATTTCTATCTATCTTATCAAGATAAAGGCAATAGTTTGTCATCTTTATGCTTCTGTAACATTCTTCAGTGACATTTGCCACTGAAATTTGAGGACCACTGTCACTGTTCCTCTAAGATGTAATCCAGTGGTCACAAACCTATGGCACATGTGTTATTGTGTTTTCCTTTTAAGACAAAAATGTTAATGTATGGGTTGTTTTTTTTCTAAACTAAAACCTCAGTATTCCAGTTTAATTGCAGGGTTGGCACTTTGCGATAAGTAAGTGAGGTTGCAGTTTGGGCACTCTGTCTAAAAAGTTCACCACCACTGGTCTAATCACTCAGGCTTTCCTCCTAGTTTTGGCCACTCCACCAACTTAAATTTTTTTTCATGCAAAGCTTTGAAATAAAGGTGTCTCCAATGGAATTTCCTGATCTATTTCCAGCTGTCCTTATAGCAAGACTCTTGCAGAAAAGGAAGAGAGGGAAAGAGATGAAGGGGCACAAACAACAAGAAAGGCTTAACCAAACCTCATATGGAACTCAGGTAGAGAGGATGGGTCAGCAAAATGCACACGGCTTTGAAAGGTACAACTGGTGATAATAAAGGGAGCTGAGAGACGCAGTAGTAGCCCTTTGCTTCAGTCTTGGGGCTTTTGTTAATAAGTTTGGGACACAGGATTAACACATCTGAGAAGCCCAACTTCCTTTCATTTAAAAATAAGTAATGTTGAGTTAAAATACATGAAAGTAGGTCTGAGAACAGTTGGGGAACTGCAAAGGGCAGTGTCACTGCTTTCTTCGCAAACTTCCATTCAAGTGTATGTGTGTGCCAGGTGCCCTGTGGCAACCACTAAGTAATTCAAGCTCCAGGGAGGGAGGGAAGGAGGCAGAGAACACTCAGCAGTACAGGGAAGCAAACAGGTGGCCTTGGCAATTGTTGCAAGTTGGAGGAGGGAATATGGAAATGGCCTGTGCCAGTTCGGGATTTGGGGAAAAACATTTTGTTCTTTCAGACAGAAAGCTGTTCCGCTATCTTAATGTTGTCTTAAATGGCTATCTTGATGTGATACCCCAAGGTGTTCTGCGTCAATCAGGAAGTAGCTGACTTTATTCCTAATTAAAAGTCTTGGATTCTATACAAAGGTAGGGCACATCTGTAGTGTGGCTGTTGGCTCTAAGAACTCAGTACTGCAACCATAAAAATGTCTATCACCCAATTTCAGTGGCTCTGAGCCAGTTTTTTTTTTTTTTTTTTTGAGCCAGTTTTCTTAAGCCCACAATCTAGGATTTTGTGGGCCTGGCTGTTCGTATAGTATATTAAGGCTCTCTTTGTATCCAGCAGATGGAAGCTGAGAGATTTTGCTTCACTGAGCCCCAAACTGCTTTCCTACTGACAACCTACAGTACCTTCTCAGTCTTTAGGATGGATCCTAAACCAGATACTTGTTAGAGGCTTACTACTTACAATCTAAAAGAAAGCCCTATCTTTTGCACATTTTATAGGATACTCTAGGGTTAACAAGTACATACACTTGTGCTTGAAAGTTGCTCTGCACAGCTGGTATTCTCCATTTCATCAGCAGTGGTCCTGGAGAGGTCTGACATGATTGGCCCATGACTCTGCCTTCCTTCAGTTTATCTCCAGATGTCCCATAGTTAAAATATCACCCCCAGCATTTCTTAAATCCTCTATCTTGTTAGTTAAGTGTCTAAATTTTGGTTCAAAAGTCAGTCGTGTCTATAATGTAGCTAAGAGGGTTTTTTTTTTTTTTTAAAGACTGAGTAAGATATGGGCTCCTTTTATTTAGAGACTCGTTACTCTTAATGTTGACTTTTAAATTAACTAAGTTACTTGACATATAAGCATAAAGCCAGGTATAACTCCCTTGTACAATTATAAAGCTTTTCTGTAATTCAAAAATCAAATTTAAATAAAAACACTACAAAACCAAGAAGATTTCAACACAGTAATAACATTTAATGCAACAGTTAAGATGTAGCTGAAAAAAATCACTATTCCAAACACAAATATAGGATGATGTTTGAAGTTCAGGGTTTATGAGTCCAATGCACATACTACCAGGTACAAAATGAAAAGTGCTTGCTCCTCACCTTTTTGTTTGAACCTGATGATACAATTTTGCTTTCCCTTAGGATGACTGTATTATGAAGTTCACTCTGTTCTTTTCTGATTGGCTCAGGACCAATTAAGATAGTATTGGACTTCCTAACTGCACTAGCATAAACACAAAGAAAAATTCAAACTCTCCTAAGTGCTCTCCTAAGATGGTCCTCTAGAAGATCCAGAAATTGACTACCTAAAGATTATCATTAAATGACATAACAAAATTTATTCTAAGGAGGACTCATGGATCATATGAGAACATATCTATGGGTTTCTTCCCAAGGTCTATAAAACCCTATTTGAGAAATGCTGGCATCCTCATCCTGGGAAAAGGTGTGAGCTTTGGATTCTAAAAGACAAGTCAGAATTCTAACTACATGAACTTGGGTCCTTGTTTAAGTTGTCTGAGTTCCAGCTTTCTTACCTGCAAAATAGGAAGAACAATGCCTAGGTATCTCCATGATTAAATGAAATCGTACAGAAAGTATCTCGCATAACTCAGTAATCATTAGTTCTTGTCCTTTGCCTCCCACAAGATTCTAATTTTTAAAAGTAAAATTACCAAAAGTGGGCTGAGGATTAAGCTCAGTGGTTCTGCCACCTGCCTTGCAAGTGCAAGGTCCTGAGTTCGATCCCCGGTACCAAAAAAAAAAATTACCAAAAGTGGGGATGGGTGTGTAGCTCAGTGAGGGAGTACATGCTCAGCAGGGCTGAAGCCCTGGGTTCAATCCCCAACATCAAAAATTAAATAAGATAAAATAACAAAAAGTAACAAATAGATATTTAGATGCCTACCACAGGCCTGGAACTATGCTGTATATTGGCCTCCAGATACCTGTTTCTACTTATTGTTCACTATTTGTCCACTGTTCTAAGCATATAAATGTATAAATTTGTAACTCTTTATAACAACTCTAGGAAGCTGGGGATGTAGCTCAGCAGCCTGCCTGGCAAGCACAAGGTCCTGAGTTCGATCCCCAGTACTGAAAAAAAAAAATTATAGTCATAACAACTCTATGAGGTAGATGCTATTACCATCTCCATATTACAGATAGAAGTAAAATAGAATTAAGTGGGTAAGTACATGACTCACCCAAGTCAGCTAAAAAGTGGCAGAGCCAGGATTTAAACATGGTAGTCTACCTCCACATGCATAAGTACTGTGCTGTAAGGTGTTTCAAGTTATCCCTATGGCACAAAATTACACAAGTCCCTTAAATATTTTCCCTTAACCACTCTAGTATGTATTCTACAAGAAATACTAGTGACCAGGTATCTTCACATTAAGGTAAAGAAAAACACCCACCTACACTCCATTTCTTCAAACATTCAAAGTTCCAAAAAAGTATCTGGGGGGGGGGATGTTTGGAAGTACAGTAATTTCATCCGTCATAGATTGGTGAGGTCTGCCTATTCAGTGACAGGAGGGGACACCTATGTGGGTATCTACAGTGTGAAGTGGCTCCATTAAAGCACAATGTCCACTAGAATGGGCAGAAGTATTTCTATATTCTGAAGATTTATTGCCCTATATATATAAATCTATAATATACATAAATATATATAATATACATAAATATATTATATATAATATACATATATATTTTGAGACAGGGGCTTGCTATGTAGTTCAGGGTGTACTTGAACTCACTATGTAGCCCAGGCTGGCCTCAAACTTGCAGCAATCCTCCTGCCTCAGCCTTCCAAGTGCTGGAATTACAGGTTTGTGACACCATGCTGGGCTTATTTTTGCCCTTTTTTATATTGCACTCAGTCTTGAGACATTGTCAACAGTTGAATCTTTTATACTTTTTTTTTTTAGTCCTGTGAATCCTTTCTTCAACAGTGCTACGCACGTTTCTTTACTATATTTCTGTTTTGCTGTGTTCTACATGGTAGTGCTTTTCAAGCTGAATTTCTATAACACTCCTACATACTGCCACTGCTGCAGCTGAGAACACACTTTACTGTAGAATATGTCCAAATGGGCTGGGAATTTAGCTCAGTGGTGCCACCACCTGCTTCCCAAGCGCAAGGTCCCTGAATTTGATCCCTGGCACCCCAAAAAAAAAAAAAAAAAAAAGTCCCAGTGAGAGAGGAAGCTGGTTCTGTTCTCTAGAACAGCAGGGTCCTTTTCTTAAACCTCAGACTATAACTTATCACCACAAATACTGTTCGTAGTGCTTCAGCATTGGTCTTCGTAGGTATTGAGTATTAGGAAATCTCAATACAGGATTAATACAGTTAATACAAGAACTTAATACTGGAAACAAAAATGGCAATAGCCACAAACCAACAGCATCAATCCTAATAATAAGGCACATAATAATGCTTTTAATCAGATACAAATCGCACATTAAACTATTAAATATAATAAGTAATTTATCATGGTGAGATGGCTCCCAATTATTTGAATTTGGATAGTGCTTCCGAAAAGCAATAAAATTTTTTAGATACTCTGGGACATTATCCTTGACCCAAAACAGAATGTTAAAACGGTAAAACAAAAACAAACAAACAAAAAAATTAATGGTATGAAGAGCCTGAAGACAAGACAGAACAAAACACTAATGTTAAGACTGTTTCTGAGTTTAACTGACTCCAAGAAATACCGGTATTACAAAAGTGGACAAAACCGCAAGAAAAAAAATACTGACCTGGTCCCAATGCTAAATTTTAACACACCTGAATCAAAGCTTATAGGTCAAGCCATCAGAACACCTAATCGAGCTAGAATACGCGTGCACAACAAACACACTGCTGCAGTCCCAGAGGGCGCGGGGGGACGGGGCGGGTGCGGGCCGGACGGGGTCCTGGGCACGCTGGGCTGCCGACTGGTGCCGGCCTCTCCCTTTGCGCTACCAGGCCCCAGGCGGAAGAAAAGCCTCCCCACCTCGCCAGTGGCTCCAAACGGGTATCGCAAGAGCGAAGGGTGTTGCCCTGGTGAACAACACTGAGTGCCACCCATTTCCTGTTGCTACGGCTCGGCTTTCTTCTTCTCTTTGAACTCTAGCTCCTGCCCTTGTTTCCCACTCCAAACCTCTTCTGCCCAGGGCACCACGACTACGTCTGTACTAGCGCGACAGCCGTAAAGCGCCACGACGTCGTGCTTCCTTTGGTTGTTTTCGCTGACTTTTCTTTCCCGGCTTTTTTGAATTGAACACACTTGGGAGCTTCCTCCTTTAGTGTGGGAAGTCCTCTTGTCTTTTTCCCTGAGGAAGTGCTGCCTGAACTTCAGATGCTCAATGACACTGAGAAGGACTTACTCAGACCTTTAGATGGAAGAAAGAAACTGAAGCATGAAAAAGAAAGTTTTTGAAGAACCCACAGCTCATGCTTGGAGTTTACACTGGAGCCAGGCATGGTGGTACACATCTTTAATTGCAGCACTTTAGGAGGCTGAGACAGGAGGTGCAGAAAGGTGATTGAAGAACAACCAATGACAGAGGAGACTGTTACTGGGACTAGAAGATTCAGGGGATCAAGCTTGGGTACTTGCACTTGTAGGGCAGGAGGCGGAACCACTGAGCTAAATCCCTGGCCCAGTGACTTACTTTTTATACCCTTTTGTAATAGCTCAACAATATATCAGATGCTAGGCTATCACTGAGAACCCAAAGTAAAAAAGCTTGCCCACAAAAATCATAATCCGCTGTCAGATAAAAATGGAAAAGTAGACCCCCCTACCGAGGTCCTGAGTCACGCAGAAGACGCTGAATCACCCCACTGTAGACAGGCAGGTCTGCCCACGCCCTACCAAGTAAGTGCAAAGGAATTGAAGTTATCCCCTGTATATTATCAGACCATAGTGCGATGAAATTGGAGATCCATAGCAAAAGAAACTCAAAAACT